TGAAGGAGTACTTGAGTAGAGGCCCAATGTCCATCTGCCATCTCAATACTTAACATATAGATATATGTACATAGATCTATTACCCTATTGTTACATATAAATATATTTACATGTTTATATTTAGACCTCTATAAATGTCCTTTGCCTCCTAGTTCTTTCCTCTATTTCCTTTTACTTTCCTCTTGTCCCATTATCATGTCTGGCCTTCATTAGGTTTCAATAATTCCTCTCAGCTACATTGCCCTTGATTAAGCCCCACCAGCATCCTATGCCCTCCTTGCCATGGATTTTAGATCACTTGTTGTTCCCTTGTCCTTGAGTTTGTTAACATCCCCTTCCTCCCCGCTCCCTCTCTCCCAAATCCCCCCTTGTCCCCCCAACCATCAGTCCCATTGTTTGCTCCTCAGGATTGTTTATCTTGCCTATCTTATCTAGATAGACATGCAGAGACAATAATAAGCACAAAAACAAGACAAAGCAGAGGAAAACAAACAAAACAAAACAACAAAAGATAGGCCTTGAAACCAGCAGTTCCCAACCTGGGGCTCGTGACCCCTTTGGGGGGGGGGTGTCAAACGACCCTTTTAATAGGAGTCGTTCGATTAATAACAGTAGCAAAATTAGTTATGAAGTAGCAATGAAAATAATTTTATGGTTGGAGGTCAACACAACATGAGGAACTGTATTAAAGGGTTGCAGCATGAGGAAGGTTGAGAACCACTGTTCTAAATAGTTCCAGGGCTGTTTGTTGGACTTCAGGAGTGTTTTCCAGTCGATTCTGATGGGGTGCCAGGCTCTGGCCCCAAAGTCTATTTTTGGTATTCTCCCAGACTTCACTGCTTTGCCCCCCTTCACCCCAGTGTGGTGGGGTCAGATCGGGCACAATGCCCACACTGTGCCTTTTAAATGTGTTATTTTTAAAATAAAAAAATCCCTGTGGTTAGTCACAACAAAATAAATCCAGCTTACATGTATTAATAGGTCTTCAAGGAGAAAATTCTAGTGCAGTTTATCTTTTGATGCTTCTAACGTGCTCAGGTCTGAGCTGTCGCTGTTACCCAATTGCAATGGCACCCAGAATCCCGTGGTTTTTCCTGCAAGAGCTACGAGCACACGCTGTTGTGTTCACTGCTTCTGGGGGTGGGGTTTTTTTTTTTTTTCAGTTGTTGATCTTGTCAGATTTTCTGGCATTTCAGCTACAGCATCAGGGTAATTCATACTTGTGAACCTGTATCAAGAATTTTTGTTGAGGGTAACTTTGACAAAACTATAATAATTTATGAACTATGAAGGGTTCATGAGGGAGGGGGGGGGGAAGGAGCGGGGAAATGAGCAACTGATATTAGGGGCTAGAGTGGGAGGCAAA